CTTTGAAATCATAGCTTGAAGTGTAAATGCACCAATAAATAATTGATGGGTTTTACATATGAAAAACGCTTTCATCAATCTTTCTAGCTATAATCTGGGACAACCGGCGTATTGGTTTGAAAAATCGATATTTTTAGCGCATTTTCCCATTTATGGATAAAAATATAACTCAGGACTCACTGCAGAGAGTGACAGAGAGTGCATTTTCTCGTCGATGAAAACGTGAAGTCACGGACGGACGGACACAGGCACAATAGAGCCTTTTTTTCCCATAAATGAGAAAATGCGCTAAAAAGGCGCTATTAATTGTGTTAGTTATGTCCGTCCGTCCGTGACTTCACGGACGGACACACGAGAAAATGCGCTCACTGTCACTCACTGCAGTGAGTCCTGATCTATTTTCCTATTTTCCTTAGGGGTGAAAGCTCGTCACTATCTTCTTCTAGTTTGTTTCAAAGTCATAATTTTCAATCAAGTTTTTTACGTACCAATAACTTGGTATTTCAGAATATTCTAACCTAACATCTGTAGCTATATCGCTTTCTTAAACCTGCATATATAGCAGCATCTCAGGTTTGCATATCTAGCCATGGTTGAATTAATATTATTAGTTCAATCATGCATCTAACATTTAAGGGTAATGAAATTAATGGGACTCGTTTCATCCTAAATGATTTTAGGTACCCATTGTCGATCCTCAATAGCCTGCATTTGAAGAGAGGCCCGTTTATGAGAAAACTTTGATGTCTTCGAGAGCGTCGTTTGTAAAGTTTTCAGCCAAGCTTGTATTATAACAGGTATCCGATGTGGCGATTTGATGGCTTTAAACGTTCGCCAGGTGGTGTATTTCTGTCCAGTTGATGTTCTATTTGATAATAAACAGATTAAAATTACAAAATTAGGTTAACTTTCACAATTTCGCTGATTTCTATGGCATAATAATTCTTTAAATAGCTACCTTGTTCTTCTTCTAGTTTATTTCTATCCACCCTGAAATTTTATTTTGAATTCGCACATTCATTTTCAGCAGAAGTGATAACAGACTGTTGGCAATATTGTTGTACCTCTATCACATCAAAATATCATGGAGTCCTAATTGTTCCTTTGAAATTCACATTGGATAAAAATTAAACACTTGGATTGTTATTATCATTCGTTGCACGTGATTCTCCACACTCCCCCTCGCATCGCACCCCACCGCGACTATGTTGCTGTCGTCTTTAAGAGCCAGCGCGACAATGAATCCTAACCTACACTCAGAAAAGTCATAAGCATTTGTCCAAATAGCGATGCAATTCTTGCACTTGTGTGAGCGATCCTGACCCAGTTTTGCCCAGCGAAAAGATATATCGTTGCTACATGCAGAATGCGTGTCACTAATTGGACAATATGAGTCATTCTGTTTTCTGAGTGAATGACGTCTTTTTTCATAGGCCAGGCTGTCGGCAACTATTACGATACCTGAATTCTCTGACGCCATCCAGTATTCCTGGTCCTGCCTCCATTCCTGACCAGATTCCGGCTCCCTTCCTACCTCCATTCCTGGCTTCATTCCTGCCATCCGGTATTCCTGGCTTAATTCCTGCCTCCATTTCTGGTTTCATTCCTACCTCCATTCCTGGCTTAATTCCTGCCTCCAATCCTGGCAATTTGTTGTTTTCTCGTGATCACTGTTCATTTCAATGACTTTTCATGTGGAAAAATAAGTCTTTATTTAATTCAAAATTATAATGAAGAGTTTTCTGGTCTGAATTATGACTGATTTTTTCTAGCTTTACTGCAACGAAATTCTTCATGTAGGTTCACATGTTATATTTCGCGTTTTCTTGACGAAAACTTCCCCTCACATTCACGACTTGAAAGTTAGGCATTTAATAGATGTCGGCAGTATCCTGACCGCTAACATACTGTGCTATGTGCACGCTGATACCATTTTAATAAACACTCGCTTTATATATTTCTTCATATTTACGAAGCATAATTGACATTTTTTCATTTTTTTTTCACATCCTCAAATTCATATTCACAGCACCGTAATTTCATCTAAAAAAACTTTCTCTACACAAAATTTCCATTATTTTCACTACCTAAAAGTTACACTAGACTTTCCCTCTACACAAACTCTTCTTCATATCCAGTGCGCTATATTTACTTGAATGGTAAATAACCTTTTTATTGGTACCTACTGCCCAAAATTTCCTCATCATATTTACAATACTATTCTTACCCAACGATAGTTCTCATGATATTTACAATACTATTCCTACCCAATGATTTTTCTCATGATATTTACAACGCTATTCCTACCAGAAGTTTGTCGATGAAACACCGTCGCGTGACCGCCCGTTGCGTGCCGGCCGTACATGACCTCCGCTGCAGCCCTGCGGCCGTGCCTTTTTTCCGAGCCTTCTCGGGCAACCTAACCCTTAGAGAAATAAGTGTGATTTTGTCCAAATATCGATGCACTTTTTGTCCTTGTGTGGGCCATCTCAACCCTGTTTGGCCCGTCAACCAAGCGTATATCAGTGCTACGTCTATTCTCTGTTCAAGGGATGGGTAAGAAATTGTGTTACTATTTGGACAAAATAAAAATAACACAATAATTTGTCTTATTTTTCTGAGTGTACGTTCGTTCAGTTGGGCGCTGTAAGCGGGCGCTGCAGTGCGCCGAGGTCGCTTCTTATTCGTGTAATAGACTGCAGATGCGGGGTGGAATTATTGGGTGTATGTCTGATGTAATTTTGATTGCCTTGATGAAGTGTAATTATCCTATATTTAGAGATTGATGTCATTTAGGAATATGGTCGCCTGAAGTGCATTTTGATATAGAATTGATATCACTTGTTTGCTTAAATCGCAAATTAACTAAGAATTTAAAAGCAATGGATAGTCCACAAAAATTCATATCTTTATAGAAAACGTTTCGGAGACCAGCTACATCGTCAGTTCGTAGAATCTAGTATCACAAATCAGAAGTCACAAATTAATACATTGAAAGCACAGAACTAAATTAAAAACCTAAATTTACAAGTAATAGATGGAGCACAGAAAAAACGATCTATTCACAATTTCAAGGGGATAGGAGCTAACAGCTGAATTCAAACTGGGCCTAAGTTTAAAGATGTACAATGATTCTAAAATGCGCAAATCGGAAGTCCCAGAGGTATAAGCTAACAATCTAAAGTCACTGTCAGAAATAGGGACATCACACTGCTCGGCGTGAGCGCGCACAGCCGAATGAGGGGGGCGCGATAGCAACTGTCCGGTTCTACAACTCCTGCCCTTATGCTCAGAGACCCTGGAATAAAGATTGTGTGACGTCATCCCGACGTACGCGACGATCGCATATGAACAGGGAGCATATCTTTATATCGAAAGAAAGAACCGATTGTGAAATTGTTTACCAGTACAATATGAAGATTGACATTTGGGAAGTATCTATTGAACAAGTATTTTAATTCTCTTGACATAGCTTCGGACGCAGGGCCGAAGTATGGAAAAGAACAATAGATAACTTTCCTATAGTTTAAATAGTTACATCTATTGCTCGGCTGAAATTTACAATAAACTTCGCTTCACTTAACGCTTATTATTATTATTATTATTATTATTATTATTCTAAGAAGCATTAATCGTGGCGTCTGGTTCAAACGAACTTCGAGGGCACGTGACACATAAGATTGATAGCAAGCGAAAAATAAATTCACTTGAAAGGATGAGAACTGATAAAATGACTAAGCACTGGATTCATAGGCTCTTCTAAATAGTTCCGTCTTTAGGCGTCGACGAAACACCTGGGGCCATACTTTCAAAACTCGTTAAGTGAACGTAAGTACTTACTCTCTAATTTCTTGTCTATTATTGGTGGATTTTGCTTGAAAGGCCATCAATGATTAGCTGATGAACTTACGATCTCTTAACTTTTTTAGAAAGTATAGGCCCTGCAACGAATGAGCCGAAGTTACGGAAGTCGGCAGACTGTTCTAGCTAGGTTCTGGAGGCGGCGACCGGGAACGCTCTGTCGCCGATGGTAGATGGAACGATAGGGATTGATATGAATTAACGCTTACAATTTATAACGATCAACGGTGAATAAGTGCGTGCAATTGAGGGAAAAAATAAAAAGAAGATAAAAATTGTTTGCTTCAACTCCTGTTATGTTTGCTAAACGATTAAAAGAAACTAGAATTGCACTCTAAATTTTTTAAATTTACCATGCACTTGAATCGTGCTAAAATGACGTGCGGGTGATACAAGTTTAATGTTGCAATCGTTTCCAGGTTGCATGTTTATAAAATACTTTCTCTAAGTGCGATAAAAATGAATTTAGAATATAAGGTTAAACGATAGAGCAGCGAATATTCCTTGAGGCACGATATTCATTTAAACCTGAATGTAACTTGCTCAAATTTATTCACATAAAAGCTGCCGGCTCAACTAATTAAGAAAAGTGGGGCGAAGCTCTAATTGTCTTGAAGTTCTAAATATCAAATTACAACTTCAAGAGAAGGTTGCAATTCATTTGCATTAGCTTGAATTTTGTTGTGAATCGAGCTTTCGATGTACGAGCACTTCTTGATTATTTTACTGGATATTTTTAGAGTGTAATTAAATTATTCAGTTCCTAATTATATGCTTCGATTAGTTTGTGAAGTCGTCCCTTAATCTTATCTGCCATCGAACATTTGTGGGCCTTTGAACATAATGAAGTTTGTATACTGATTAAGTTGGCGGTGAAAAATATCGATATTTTGAAAAATTTGGGCATCAACATTCTGGAATGTTGATGACTCTTGGCTTCAGTCATGATCTTTATACAAATGTTTGTTAATGTCTTTTTCGAGAGAACCGGAAAATTGCATCTCTAAATGCACAAAATCCTATAAAAAATCAGACGAAATATTTTTAATGTAGAATGTTCCTCTTTAAGATTAATTGTGTTTTTTCTTCAAATTAAAGTCATCATCTCATCGTTAAAATTTCAAATATTACACCCACAGCGCACTGAGCAGTGGAACCGCGACGACAGCGAGGACCGAGCAGACGCGTGCTACTCTCAAGACGGTCGGGACGGCACTGACGACGATCAAGGTGGTGAACCCGCCGATGGCCACCTAAACCGTGACCAAAACCGGGACCAGCGTCCTGTGGGACACAAAACAGATTCATACGATGAAGGTGAATGTGGTGTAGGAGTTCGTAGCAGCGACTCACACGCGTCGTATTTCCGTGACGGTTGCACGCGCGTGGACTACGTTCTGGTGTACGAAGGTAGCGTGGCGTCCTCAGCCAGCGCTAGCCGCAGGAAGGGGAAGGGGCGGGCGGCACGGCGCGAGGGCGGCAAGGAGGGCGGCAGCAAGAAAGGCGAGCGTCATGAACTCTGGAGGGCGAAATTCATGGCGTCTCTGCAGCGAGCTGGTCTGCTCATGGAGGAGGTGGGGCCTAGGGCTTAGTGTGGTGTGTGTGATGTATGGTGTGTTATTACACCATATGATGTATGGTGTGTGTGATGTATGGCGTGTTATTACACCATATGATGTATGGTGTGTGTTATGTATGGTGATTTATTACACCATATGATGTATGGTGTATGATGTATGGCGTGTTATTGTGGTGTAAAGTGATACATTGTGTGATGATACCCTGTGTGATGTATGGTGAGTTATTGTGGTGTAAGGTGATACATTGTGTCTGATGATACACCATACACATGATGTGATGATGGTTATTGTGGTGTATAGTGGTCGGGTAGTGAGATTTAATCATATACCCCCTAAATGCCTATTCGAATATCCCTCCGATATGTAGATTGGATGAATGATGTGTTATCTACTATATCATGAACATACCATCATATGTTCAATATTCTAACAAAATCTTGAAAATACTATCATCTGCGCTGGCGAATAATAGTTCTATCAAGTCAGGGTATTGCATACAAACGCCTAAACAGCGTCTCGAATTTCTTGTACTGCTCCGCCTCTCAGATTACATTCATTTAAGCTGCAACGATTGAATTAAAGTTTTTTATTTCGTATAATTCACTAAACGAATCGTAGAGGTGTTCAAACTAAACGTGTAAACGTATTAACACGCATAAGATAACCCCCTAACAAACCCCAGCATATATATCTATACAACACACACAACACTCATCCCCGACACTCTAGCAATATGATGTTTGCAAGATGAATGTGTACACACTAACACCCCAACATTCAAACACACCAGGATGTTGAGATGCACATACTCTAACACGTCAAACACCTCTCCCAACACTCACATCACCCACTATAACACTCAAATCACACCCTCTAGCAGTCTAGCACTTTTAACACCCTCTCTAACACTCGCAATCTAACACTCACAATACCCCCTATAATACTCATAACACCCCCTCCAACACGCATAACACCCTTCTAACACTCGCAACACCATCTTAACAATCACAACACCCCTCTTACACTCCTAACACCTCTCCAACACTCGCAACACTCTCTTAACACTCACAACACCCCCTCCAACACGCATAACACCCTTCTAACACTCGCAACACCCTCTTAACAATCACAACACCCCTCTTACACTCCTAACACCTCTCCAACACTCGCAACACCCTCTTAACAATCACAACACCCCTCTTACACTCCTAACACCCCTCTAACACTCCTAACACCCCTCCAAAACTCACAACACTCTCTTAACACTCACAACACCCCCTCCAACACTCACAACACCCCTCTAACCCCCAGGACGTGGAGGTGTTGGGGCGGCGCAGCGTGAGCTTCATGAAGCTCAGCGCGCCCTGGGCGGTGCTCATACACTTCGCTGAGGAACTCAACATGCGCGCCCCTCTGCAGGTATGGTGTGTGAGGTGTGTTCTGTGTGTGATGTGTGGTGTGTGGTGTGTGGGGTGTGTGGTGTGTGTTCTGTGTGGTGTGTGTGATGTGTGGTGTGTGTAATGTGTGGTGTGTGTTCTTTGTGTCCTGTGTGTTGTAAATGGTGTGTGGCGTGTGGTGTTTCCTATGTGGGGTGTGGGGTGTGTGGTGTGTGGGGGTGTGTCCTGTGTGGGGTGTGTGGTGTGTGGGGTGTGTGTCCTGTGTGTGGTGTGTGTAATGTGGGGTGTGTGTCCTGTGTGGGGTGTGCGGTGTGTGGGGTGTGTGTCCTGTGTGGGGTGAGTTATGTGTGGTGTGTGTCCTGTGTTGGGTGTGTGGTGTGTGGGGTGTGTCCTATGTGGCGTGTGTCCTGTGTGGGGTGTGTCATGTGTGTTGTGTGTCCTGTGTGGTGTGTATGGTGTGTTCTGTCGTGTCTATCCTGTGTGTCCAGTTTTGTGCGTGTTCTGTGTGATGTGTACGCTTTATGGTGTGTTTCATGTGCTTTTTTCCTAATTAAAAATTTTGTATTCAATTCTTTCATTAATTAATCAATATTTTTTTAATTTAAAAATATGCTTTAAATTCCAATAAATTACCGAATTTTGTTATGGAATATCGCCTCATGTTATATAATGGGCAGGGTGGCCTAGTGGTTAAAGTTCAGAGTACCAAGATTGGAGCAGAGAGGTGCGGGTTCGATCCCAGCTCTGTGCGCCAGTTTCTGGTCAGAATCGGCAAGGAGGCCGGGCGGTTAAGCACAGCATAATTGTAGCAGTGAGTTGCGAGTTCGAGACCGCAAAATGCTGTGAGTGTTCTGCGATGTTAAGAATCGGCGACAGGCCTACGGCCTAATAAACGCTGAAACCGCTATTATTTATTATTATTATTATTATTATGTGTGTGTGTTGGGGTGTGTTTTATGTGTTTTGTGTGCTTTGTTCCTAATTAATAATTTTTAATTCAATTCTTTCATTAATTATTCAAGAATTATTTTACAACATTTAAAATATGTTTTAAATCCCAATCAATTACCAAATTTTGTTATGGAATATCGGCTCAGGTTAATTGAAAGGTTGCAATCAAATTTTAAATTCATTTCTTTTCGCGCGTAGAGAAAGTTGTTATCAACATCCCACCCCCACCAGAAAATGATTGCAGCTTTAAACGTATTCCCATAAATTATGATCATACGAATTTATTTTGTCAATTTTACGAGATTTGAGTTTTTCACTTTCCCGCCTGTATTCATGTTATGTCCAGGCAATTTATGTTTTTAAATATCGAAATTTAGAAAGGAAATTGAGAAATTATCGAGTGCTATATCTGAAATCCAAAAAGAATACCAAATATATTAGATTGTAGAGTTTCTAACACTACATTATTCACCAAAACTCTGGCCACCCAAAGACGTGACGGCATTTATCTTTAACCGCCATAAGTGACGTCATTGAGAGCACTCGAGCTCTATCCCCTTATCGTAAATCGATGCGCAAATGAGAAGGTCAAATCAAAGGCTGAAGCACCAGCTTCAATATAAAAGCACCTTGATGAACGATGTCCGTTATGAATGTTGTATGAACGATGTTGGGCGTTAATTCGTCAAAAGCTATCAAATCTACGAGCTTTTACGCCACCATGCGTTATTGATATTGTGCCTGCACGAGAGGCATAAAAGTTTGCCTGCTCATGCCTGTGGCGCGTTATGATGATGTTTTTGCGTGTTGTGCAATGAATTGCAGTTATTTAGATAACTTTTAAGATTGAAAATGTTTTGCACATTCAAGTTGCAACTGAACTTGAACTGCGTTGATTTGGGGAAAGAGAGCACTATAACCAGTGGATTTTTTGGCGATAATTAGTTCATATTGGGACCTTCGTTCTAACCTGATCGTAAAAATGTACTTTTTAATCAAAATCTCACGATTTTTGCACTTATTTCTTTCACAGAAAATCTTTTTGCTAAATTTTACATTAGTGCTCTTCAAATTTTCGAAATTTTTTGTATGATCAATTTTTGTTGATACGTTTTTTCACACAATTTTCTTTTTCGTCTCACATATTAACACAGTTAAACTCAGCACAATGGACCACGAACAATAATTTATTCAAAATTGAACCTTGAAAGTAAAGACAGTGATTTAGCTTAGTCTAGTGACCGCTAAAATCTATTTCTCCTTCCTACGAAGGGTTTAATTTTAATTGGAACGATATCATTAGTTTAATTATCATTGGAAGGATATCCTTGCTTGAGCTCGCTTCATTCAAATAAAGCCAGCGCTGGCCTCAGTTGCAGCTAAATTGCACCCATCACCATAAAATGTTTCATTCCACAGCACCTGGATTTGGCTTTATATGAATAGAATGTTCATTATTTTAGGCTTCTAATTGAAGGTTTCGAATGCTGGACCACTTATCACCAATCACAATAAAACGTTTCATTTCGCAGCACCTGAATTCGACTTTGTAGCAGCTAGAATGTCAATAAATTTCAGGCTTATTATTAAATGTTCCTAATGCTGGATCACATCTCACGCCATTTAATAAAACGCTTCATTTCCACAGCACCATAATTTGATATCACATCTTATTAAGCGCTACATTGCTTGATGATTAAATGGAATTGAAGAGGTCTGTTACTTTACATCTTTAGTATCGTTTCACTTGCAAGACATAAGCTGCTTTCTTCGTTATTATACCAACACGCATAATGCTTTGTATCTTATTACTTGATTTTACTGCATTATTATAGTATTTTAGCGATCACCTCTTACTAAACATGCATTCCTGGACCTTACTCATCAGACTATATAAATTTAAAAGAAATTAAACCCGTTGAATTAAATGAGTGATAGTAGAATTGTTATATTTTTACTACGATAATCTTTTGAGGCTCCACAAGAGCCGTCTTTCATAATAGTATAAATTTGTATACTTGATATTTTGTGACTTTATTTGTAGGTAATAATATTAATATAAATTGGTGTGCAATTTCTATTGGGCATCTTTTAAATATCTTATTCCTAAGCCGCGTTTTCAAGTCTATATTATATACCAGTACGATATGACCTCAGGCATCACAAAAAAAATATTTTTTGAACGCGGAACACATAAAATATACTCAAACTTGTGTTGCAACGAATTATATTTTTTTTTCGAAATAACGCTTTCGAATCATCGAAAGTTTTAAATGTTCGTTAAATTGCTATTACTGGCATTTTTTGTAACCATTACTGAAAGTCATTGCATTCGTGTACTTCTCCAGACATCGAAATCCGTTTCCGCGAATGTTTTGATGAAGTTACAGTATATGTTTTTGCGTGACACCGTCATTCCGAATTTCGAAATGATCAATAATGTCTTCGTACTTAGTTTATACCAGATCCCTCTAAACAAAATGATTCACGAAATAATGCATTTTAAAGCTGACTATTCGATGCACTGATATTTCAACTTAATTTTCAAAGCAGGCAATAAGAGACGACATCGCATGCATATAGACTCATATAAATTAAATCATCGATGGCCTCCAATAAACTTCTTATGAACTCACCATCCTCGGGATTTATCGGTGTATCATCGTCGATTTATGTTACAAGTGGCCATTATTCGATAACCCGCCTATAATTTGCCATAACCACTATATTAACCATGGCCCTGCCATTCATAATTCTCTGGAATTTAGGGTAATGTATTTAAAGCGGATACGCTGAAGGAGCGCACGCAGCAGTATATTCAAGCCTGCAGGTCGTCGGGATATTCGTGCCCTCGAATAGTGGAGTAACTGAGGGTAATGGTGGAGTGATCGGGTAACCGAAGGTAATAGTGGTGACCGAGTAATCAAGAGAAATGATTTAGTTATCGAGCAGCCGAGGGAAATAATTGCTTCTTATTAACATTTAACGACGCGTAAAGATAAATTGTTTCTTGTGCAGATCAGACCTACAGCGGATGATAAGATAGTGTTACAGGTGCGCAGTGTTCTTGTTATCTTATACATGTTTTGAATGCTTCTCCCTCAACTTTATTTAAGTAGAATATCATGCAAATTTTAATTGTTTAAACCCATGCAATTCGTATCAACGTCTGAATGAGCGTGAATTATTTAAATGATGCATTCATTCAAATAATTTCGATGAAATATCTTATAATCAATTAAATTATTACAATTAATCGAACAATTACAATCAATCAAATAAATACAATCGATTAAATAATTACAATCAAACAAATAATCATAATCAATCAATAATTACAATCAATTAAATTGTTTTTATAGTACTTTTGTATCAATTAAAAATTATAAATGAGTGCTTCCTCGCTTTTACGACCATGAATGTATATCTGCTTCAATTTCCGTTTAAATAAAATAAAATAACCAACAAACCTTTTCCTTTAATGTTAATAGCTCAAGAAAGTTTAATTGACTGATCGAAATGAAATCATATACACGTTGTATGTCTGCTTGTTGAGATCGTAATAACCTTTACCTACACTCTTCCGATGGAAATATGTTTCAAAAATTTTTAATTATAATTATCGTATTTACCACCTTACCCTTCCAGCTCCCGCATCATTTGACGCCTATTGCGATGCACCGCGATGGTTGTCATATCATTAATATATTAATAATAATAATGATTAAGTTCATTGCAATGCAATGACTTTTAAACAGTGTTCTTAATTATTAATTAGAGTTTCTCTTCGAGCTTTCAACTCAAATAATATGTCAGTTAAAGTGACGGAAAATAAGTTGAAATTTTCATCGTGGTTTGATTTGATTATGAGAATACATGTCAGGTTATCAATTCTAATCGAATTGCCGTTGCTAATTGAAAATTGAACGATGCCATTTTTGATCATCACAATCATCCGAAAGCTGTACATACCGACAAACAATCGTTCGTGATTAATTGAATATATTTTTAAAATATTATACACAACTTGTGCATTTCAATATACGTATGAAGCATATAGTAATATAAATA